ACAATAAACACTTGTTGCCTTTAAAATACCTTTCCGTGGGGCACAGGTGACTCGACAGTGTTAAGCGAAGGTTATCTGAGTCGTTATGCAACATGGGTGGGAAATGAGAGTCAGGTGTGGTAAAGTGGCTGTTTTGTTCCAAGTTCCGAATGACGTGAATTTATGTCCATTTGACTGCAGTGGCCCCAGAATTCCTTGTGCCCTTGGTGGATGTGACCTGCTTGCTTGGAGACACAGTGACACTGCAGTGCAAGGTCTGCGGGCGGCCGAAGCCCACCATCACCTGGAAGGGGCCAGACCAGAACATCCTCGACACCGACAGCAGCTCAGCCACATACAGCGTCTCCTCCTGGTAAGCGGCCTGCCCCCGCCTCCCCCCCAGCCCCCCCTGCAGCACCACAGCGTGTTGTGCTCGCGCGGCACCCAGAGGCCACGTCCGGGTGCAGCTACCCTTCCAGTGACTTAGTTTCTCCCAGAGCAGGGCTGCCCTGGCGGCTGTTCTAGTGCACACACTGGGCCGTGATTGGGAGGGAGACTGAGTCAGGCACGTGTGGCTCCCAGCAGTGGCCTCTCACAACGGTGTGCTCAGGCCCAACCTCAGCCTGAGGAACACCTGGGTCACGACCAGCACATACTCACCTACTGCTCAGCGTTGTGTAGACAGACCTAGGATCAAAATGAACAGTTCAGCCCAGCTAGTGTGGCTCAGTGGTTAAGCATCGATCCATGAACCAAGAGGTCACTGGTTTGATTCCTGGTCAGGGCACATGCCCAGGTTGTACAATCCTTCCCCAGTAGGGGGCATGCAGGAGGCAGCTGAGCAATGATGTTTTTCTCTCATCTATGTCTCTCTCTATCCCTCTCCCTTCCTCTCTCTCTAAAAAAATCAATAAGAACATATTTTTTAAAATATTTTTTTTAAAAGGACAGTTCAAAAGACTGTATTCTGGACCCACATGAAACAAAGAAAGAAAAACTCTCTCAGGTCCAGGCTGAGCCCCACTGGCGAAGAGCTTGGCAGTCGCTGACTTACACTCACCCCCTTCAATCCTCTTTCCCTACGGACGCCCAGGAGCACCTGTGCCAGGAGCAGTGAGGAGGCTGCAGGCCTGCAGGAAGGTGGTCCTCACATCTAGACACCCCAGTGTTCTCTGTGCCCCTCAGGAGCCCGGGAAAGAGCAATGTATTGAATTCCTCCATTTACTTGAGGACAATTTTCTTACAAGAATAAAAAATGCCCCACTCCAAAATGTGCAACAGAACACAGAAAATCCAGCCCCAGCATGCGTCTATGCAAAAAGGGTGTTTAACAAAACCTGGCCCAGTGCCTCCCCCCATCTTCCTGGTCATATTTATTGCTACTAATTATGAGCTTCCCTGTGGACTACTGCTCACGGTGGGCAAGCAGTAACGAGCCCTCCATGCATAAGAAAGACTCCTCCAAGTGAGGAGATACTTTCATCTATTAACTTCGTGTGTGTGTGTGTGTGTGTGTGTGTGTGTGTGTGTGTGTGTGTGAGAAATGTGTTCCCAGCAGAGCCTGCCCGCCAGGTCCTGACATCTCAGTGGTTAGTGTGAGCGAGTGTGGTGAGAACCATGATCACCACGTCTGTCAGAGCCAGGGGAGAGTGGGCTGACTGGGACTTCTGCGCGTGGCCCTCTCTGCAGCTTTCCCAGGTGCCGTCCTGGACCCCAGAGTGGGCTACGGGGAAAGTTATCCTTTAGTGGAGGAATTGGCTCTGTTTAATTCACGTAGTTATTTTGAGAGTCCCATGTGTGGAATTTGAAATACTGGAACATTTTCATTCTTTAGTCTTTCCATTTTTGGGGGGTACCATTCATTATGGATCCATGAGGCTGAAAATATTTTAGAAGAAAGTTGCTGGTGGTAATAATATGAGTCATACTGTGGGCCAGGGCTTGTATAAGACTTGATAGATTTCAAACCATGCTTTAGTTCTTATCTTGTTTTGCTCTTTTTTTTCTATCCCTATCCCTCACATACAACAAACCTGAGAGAGAGGCATGGTGAGAATTTTTCCCCTGAAAGGAAGTGAGAATGTAGGGAGGCGAGGCGGTCACCCAGGGCGGGTAACAGAACTGGACCCGCCTTGGGCCTGAGTCCGCTCAGCACACCAGGTGCCAGCCCTTCGCCGTCAGTTGTCTCCTGATTGGCGTTTGAGGCCTCCTTTTGGTCTCCCTAGTGAGTCCGGAGAAATCACCCTGAAGATCTGTAATCTGATGCCTCAAGACAGCGGGATTTACACGTGCATAGCAGCCAATGACCACGGCACCGCGTCCACGTCCGCCACGGTGAAGGTGCAAGGTACAGACTCTCTCTGTTAAACGTGTTTTATGCTTTAAACATATGCTTATTGTCGTAAGGTGCACATGACAGCATTTACCATCTTGACCAACTTCCGGTGTCCAGTTCCGTAGTGTGAAGTCCATTCACACTGTTGCGCAGCCAAGCTCCAGAACTCGTTTTCTCTTGCAAAACTGAAACTGTAGCCGTTAAATAACTCCCCATCCTCCTTGCCCCAGCCCGTGGCAGCGCTGTCCTACTCTTCATCTCTATGATTTGTGTGGGTCAAGCATTTTCTGGCGGCATTACCAGGGCTCCCTGAAAACTGGGGTGTGCGGGGAGGGAAGGGGGGTTCCATTGTGAAAATTCCAAAGCAAAGTTCCAGCAAACAGGAAGAGAACGAGTTTTTGCTGTCTGTGGGGGAGAATTTCCAACAGCCAGGCGCGCCTCCCGGGCCTCCGCCGGACCTGGGGAAGGTGGAGAACATCACAGGGAAAATGTGAGATGCTGGTTAGGTGACGTTTCCTGGGTGGCGTTCAACCCTGGTGTAAACGACCCGGTTCTGCAGAAATAGCCCTGGACCCTGTCTGTCCTGCAGGCGTTCCCGCGGCCCCCAACCGCCCCATCGCCCAGGAGCGGAGGTGCACCTCGGTGATCCTGCGCTGGCTGCCCCCGGCAGCACCGGCAACTGCACCATCTCCGGCTACACCGTGGAGTACAGAGAGGAAGGTGGGCCACCTGTGTGTCTTCTCCTCCTTGTAACGAGGCCTGCAGAGCCGTAACACCATTGGTCTCCGTGCCCGTCATCAGCTGTTCCTTCTTGTGTCTCCCAACGCGGCACCATGGCCCCAGCACCAGACTGCAGCGCCTTCTCGGATCTCGAACATCCAGTCGGGTTTTCCACAAAATCACGGCGGGTTTCTAAGTGCCTTCGCGCACACTGCCCTGCTCAGCACACCCAGTGACCCAGACAAGCCCGCCCATTCCACCGACCAGGAGGCAAAGGCCTAAAGAGAGTTAGGGAGCAGGAGGCTGGAGTTAGAGCCAGGTCTCCAGGTTGCTAATCTGTGATCTTTCTCCCAGAGCAACCAGGAGGGGAGCAGGAGCTGAGCTTTACCCACCCCGCTCCCCTGATAAATGTAGAGATCACTATACAGCAGGGGTGGGGAACCTTTCTTCTGCCAAGAGCCATTTGGATATTTACAACGTCATTCTCGGGCCATAGAAAATTATCAACTTAAACATTAGCCTGCTATATTAGGTCAAACATTTAATTAACTCACCCCTAATGCCTTGGCAGGGCCAGACCAAATGATTTTATGGGCCTTACTTGGCCGTGGGCCCGATGTTCTCCACCCCTGATATAGGGTGTCCCCTAAAAATGTATACACACCCTTTGGATAGTTATAAAGTCAGTGTTTATCAAGTGCTTTTCAGTTTCAAAATTGAACTATCGGCTGTTAAAGTGTGTATACTTTTTGGGGTCACCCTATATATATCATTATATATGGTAACTTTTTAACAAATTGTTCCATTTTTCAATTTGTTACATTTACATGCTAAAGTGCATGCATTTCTTCAGCAGTTGTTAAGAACTGAGCCTGACACCTACTTAGCTGAAATCAGAAGTTGCCAGGGAGCTGATTGTTAACAACACTTCTCTGAGCCCCACAATGAATTACAATGGAAAGTAATGCTTGCACCCAGAACCAAAATCATGCATTTCATTACTCCTATTATTTTAACTCTTCTCTCTCCTGGTAAACGGGGCCCATGCAGTTTAAAGCTGTTTATTTCTGCATCTTTCTCAGGCGGCTTACTCTTGTGTCTCCCAACTCCACACAAATCCGCTGAGCTGACAGGCACGTTTCACAAAGTTCGTATTTATGCAGCATTAGTCAGTTGGGAAAATCATCTAATCTCTCCAAGTCCCGGTTTCTTCATCTGTACAGTGAGATGAATGCCCCTGACCTTGGGGTTTCTGTGGATTTAAGTGAGGAAGTGAAGTGAGAGAATGGGGGGAAGGTGCCTCCCACGGGTGCAAGTGGTGCTCAATACGTGCTCATTTCTATTTTGTTGCCATTTCCAAACCCTGTTTTCTCGTTGTTGCTTTTATGTTATGTTTCCTGACACCTCGTGAAGAATCGGCCCCACATTCCTCTGTAACTTCTGCATGACCTATGTGTCTCCTCACTCTCACGTGCACAGCTGACACGGACAGAACCTGCAGGCCAGTTGCCTCCACACGCCTCACTAGGATATTGAACCCAGATCCGCCACAGCTGCCATAGGCTTTCAGAGCCAGACACAGTGACCACAACGGCCCTTTGAGTGGAATGTGTCCATTTCCCTCTCTTTGTTTGCTGAAGGTCTTTGAAACAATGTCCCTCTGGCTTGTTCTCTTTCTCTCTCCTCGGAAATCGCACGCTAGGTTCCCAGGCCTGGCAGCAGTCGGTAGCGTCGACCTTGGACACTTACCTCGTCATCGAAGACCTCAGCCCCGGGAGCCCTTATCAGTTCAGAGTCAGTGCCAGCAACCCCTGGGGGATCAGCCTTCCCAGCGAGCCCTCGGAGTTCGTGCGACTTCCAGAGTACGGTGAGTCCCACCACGCCCCGCACCCCAGTGGGTGGAGGCCAGGCGCCCCGCACGCTCACCCACACTGTCTGCCCATTGCGTGGCAGCCGCTGTCCAGCGGGTGGCCTGGATTGGCTCCGTGGCTTCAGCCAAGTCACAGTCCAGAGGCCTGGTGAAGGGTGTTTCCGTAAAGTGTGATTTCAAATGTCTGGGAGCAAACGTTAGATCTCTGCCCTTCTTCTCCCCCGGGTTTACCTGCAGCTCCCTGGGCGCTGTGCGTGTCTCCAGGAACCCAGAGGAGCAGGCAGATGTCATGCGTCACGTGGATGCTACCTGCCCCTCTTCTAGGACAGGACACCAAACCCTCCTCTCCCCTGGGAACTGGCCAGCGCAGTGTACCTCACACATCAGGGACACCCCCACTCCCCGATTTAAAATGGGGAGAGAAAAGCAACCTGGTGGGAGGATTTGATCATTTCCCCACCCTCTACCCTCCCAGAACACCTCTTCTCATGTGGGTTCATTTTTATGTGGATGTGCTGAATAATTACGAAGACACACATATAACCAACTGCACATGAGTGTTTTACAAACAAGGCTCTTACTTTGTCCACCTGTTCACGATCTCACCAAGCCACCTTGGTCCCGAGGACGTTGTGACAGAGGAAACTTGTTGGCCTAAGGAGATTTTTGAGAAGTGGGGTTTGAGGCGGTGCAGGGGAATGGGCTGGGTGTGTTGGGGTGGAGAGAGGAGGTCTCTATACTGAAAAGGCAACGAATCCGTGTCTCTCTAGGTTAAGGGAGTCCCAGAATCTAAGAGTGGCTCCAGAAACCTCCTGGGGTCTCAGACGACAGCCCGGCCCCCAGCTGAAGCCGGAAATGCTCCCGCTGGCTCAGCATCCTCCCACTGGCCTTGCGCTGGTGGGCCTGCTACTCCCTGGGAAACCTTGGCCTGGGTCTCTTCCCTCAGATGTCAGGGTGTAGGCACCTTCCGCCTCCGAGGGGCTGTGCTCAGGGACGACCACCGCTCATGCTTTGCTTCTTGCGAACCTTGGTCCCCAGAGGCAACACAAATACACAGTAGTGTCATGCTCACACGTATGCGAATCATTGCCAGGGAATTAACACGTCATATAAGGAAATGCTGCAAAGATTCTGCTCAGGCGTGTGTTTGGGGTTAAGCTAAGTCATTCAATATACAAGATGGGCTCATTGATGCTCGAGAACAGCGGGGTGAGGAAGGGCAGGCTTTAGAATGTTTTGAGCACGTTCCTTCCCTTTTGTCCTTTCCCGGCCCCGTAATTCCTCCCGTGCCCTCTTGGCTGTGTCCTCCCCACCGCCCCAGTCCTCACCAGCTGTGCTAGGCCTTTAGCGCAGTTTCCTCTCTCCCCTTTAGTTTTTTTCCAGCTACTGTTTATTAGTAACATATCCAGAAGCTCCATTCCGGACCGTCCCGAGTTTCCGTGCGGATGTAGATGGCACAGGGCGGGAGTCTGGATGCCACGTCAGGTTCCCCTGGGATGGGAGTTTTATAAAGAGCCTGTCGGGGAAGCCTGGCATTTTCCCACCAAGTTAGGCTGTGTGTTTAGTCCTGAGAGTTGCTTTGGGTGATGCTGGATCTTTTCTGTTAGCCTTTTTGTTATTCTTCGTCACTTCCTCAATCTCATCCATGGATTCTCTCTCTCTCCCAAAGATGCTGCTGCTGATGGTGCCACCATTTCTTGGAAGGAAAATTTTGATTCAGCTTATACTGAGCTGAATGAAATTGGCAGGTACTGACTCCACTTTCTGTTCCTTCATTCGTGAGCACTTAACAACATCCCATCAGAATAATGACCAGCTTTTGTTGTTTATTTTTTATTAAATGCCTTCTCTCTAAAGAAAATATTAGGACACCTATGTGTATTTTCTCTTGTTCTTTTTCTAACTTCTTAAGTGGGAGGCTTCACTCGTCAGCTCTCAGCCTTTCTTTTTTTCTAACATAAGAATTTAAGGCTCAACATTTTTTTCGAAGTACAATTTTAGCTACATCTCCTCAGTTCATATACGGCATTTTCATTATCATTCAGTCCTAAGGATTTTTCCTTCACCTATGATTTTTTTCTTTGATCCAGTTGTAATAGAAATGTTTTAAAATTTATAAATGTATGAGATTTTTACAAATTATCTTTTTGTCACTGATTGTAACTTATTGCATTGTGGTTGAAGAATCGGGTCTGTAAGATATGTTTCTTTGATTTTTGTTGGGACTTGCTTTATGAGTAGTATGTGGTCAATTTTTATTAAAAGTTCCATGAGTTCTTGAGAAGAATTATACTAATTATACTAATTGTTGGGTTCAGGTCTCTATGGACGACCATGTGTCAAACCCATTGTTTTGTGGACCTTTCTAGTCCAATCACCCTACACACACTCACACACACACACTCACACACACACACACACACACACACACACACCTCTCTTTCTCTCGCTGCACACATATGCATTCTCTCTCTCTCTCTCTCTCTCTCTCTCTCTCTCTCTGTATATTTTGGTTAGAAAAGTGTGTCTTCAAAAGCAAAAAGGATAAAGTATGACTTCTTACACAATAATGAAAATAATGTATCACCTGTACCAAAATATAGTTGATGGAAAGGAATGAAAATGGTTGTCCCTTGTGCATGCATTGGTCCCCAGGTGGTCTAAGTGAGAACATGTGGGTAGTGGATCTTGGAAGTCACCCACCACCCCGGATGTATAAAAAAAAGAGCACCCACTGACAATGGGCCATCAGCATCATGGCCAACTCTGACAGACAAATCTCAATGAAGCCTAAAATTTCCTAAGTGGGGTGGTTTGACAGAGGTTGTGGAAACAGCCAAAATGTTTGAAATTCCCATGTTTTAGGCAGTGGTCACAATGTAAACCACTGCCTTTTATTATAGCACCTTTCACCAAAAAACAACTTTAGCTCCACATTTCTGACAAAAGGCCGATGAAAATTTGTGTGTTGTTGATGATGATGATCTTATTGAGTATCTGTAGTGTTCCAGATACTGTGCAGATAGTATACAAAAGTTGTACAATCTGATCCTTAGAACACTGGGACAGTGTTTGAGTAACTTCCAGTAAATGGAAACTCAGTCCCGGGGGTGGGGGGTGGGGGCAGGTGGTGGGGGGAGTAACTTCCTCAAGGTCCCGCACTAGTAACATAGAGCCAGGATTCAAATCCTGGGCTCCCTGACTCTAAGCCTGTGCTTGATTGCTAGCTTCTGTTGTTTTGCATCATAGCAATTTTTGTCAAAAATAAGCTGTAGTCATGATTGAAATCTAGTTTGCTCCGTGATATTGAAGTTTGTGAAGTTAGCTATGACCCTAATTATGAGCAGGTCAAACGGGTTCCATCACCTGGCTGCCCCAGTTAATTCCTCCCCAGCTGCTGATGGCCTTAGGCTAAGGCCTGATTTAGCTAGAAGAGATGGATGTTTTGATATTTCTCAAAGTGCAGATCAATTTTCTGATCTGTTCAAAATATTAGCGACACCTCTCAAGGACACCAGGGAGGTGGTACTGGACAGCCCGCTGCGTCAGTGGGAGGGGTCTGTCTCCAACCTCCATCCTTGTCTTCTTATATAAATGAATTTATACCAGTGACCTTGACTGCGTTGTGAAAAGCCAATGTAGTAAAGCAATTAGAGCATGTGCCTTTATTGAAAAAGCAAAGCAAGCATACATTTGGCTTATGAAGCACAGAAGGGCTCTCAGCTAATCTGAAGAGCAAGTTGGGTGGGGGTCCAAGGGGTTATATACCGTCCTGTCTATCGGTTTCAGATTCCTTTGCTGACTATTTTGGTACAGATTCATTCTCAAAGTCCCTTTTTACTTTGTCGTGGCCTTCCCAGAATTCATGAGAAGCACCTGGCAGCTTTATCTTGCCAAGTCTCGAGACTGCTGGCTCCTCTGCTTAGGGAGTAAACCGGTCCTTTTTTCCCTTTCTCCTTTCCCCCTGCCTTCCTGCATTCTCTCCTTAGGGAGGTTTTTTAACCATTTGCTCCGTGTCCTTGGCTGGGGAAGATAAGAGCTTTTTAGTTACAAACTGGCTGCAAATTGCCCACACTGTTTGGCCTTGTTTTAACGTTCCCGTCTCAGTTTTCCCATTCCTCCTGCCCTGGAATCCTGTAACAAAAGCCATCTGTGGTTTCTCAAAAATCACATCTCCAACAACCTACGACGTTTCCTGTAGCCCTAAGATAGTCCTCATATTTTCAGAAGATCTTTTAAACATGCTGTATGTTACTAGGATGGAAATAAAACATGTAGATACAGGAGACACATGAAAGATATATGTGCCAGGGCCATAAACATGAGCCCACTTTCTCCATCACAGCTACACCTGGAATTCCAAGCATACATGACTATCTTTTTAAAAATCACTCTCTGGTAATGAATATTATAAAAATCATGGTGCAAAAAGAAATAGCTTCACTCCTATAGCCCATCCATAGAGCATGGCATAGTAACCGGAAATAAGCTATCTAGGCCCCAGTGCCGTTGAAGGAAGCCAGGGAGTTATCCCCTGGGAATGCTGACTGGTGCAAGCATGTCAAACTCGCGGCTTGAGGGTTGCAGTACCAGGCTACCCTTTCACTCCCTCCCAAGACTTCACTAAATCTATTGTAAAACAATTTTTAAAGCAGGAACATAAGGACAAGGATGTTATAAGAAGAGATAACAACAATAAACTATTAGAAGCAGAAAAACAGGTTGAGAGGGTGGCAAATGACCTGGGAAACCTGAGAAAACCCAATCCAAGTCAGACGTGGGGTCAAGTGGGAGCCCTTGTTACAGCGGAGTTCCCCAGAAGTTTGGGTGCCGGCAGCACCCAAAACCTCTGGAAACAGGTGTGAAGAGGATGCTAAGGTCGGAAGGATTGGCTGAACTCTGTGTGAGGAAAAGCTGTGGCTCCAATCTCCTCCCAGCTTCAGGCCGCTGTGTGATTGTCCTCCTCCACCCACGGAAGGCCAGAGGCTTGTCCTCTGGAGAGAGCAGAGCAGGCAGCCTCTGTCCTCAGGGACACCAGCACAGCGAGGGCAGATCCCTGCTCCAGTCAGGCGGTGAGGAGACTGCATGCATGCTGGGTGCCGAGGACCCAGCTCTTACCCACTCTCAAAGCTTTCAAATAGCTCTTTAGTCCCAATTCTTACAAGGAGCCAAGATGGAGGAAGCCCATTGTAGCCTTTCTCTCCCACTGAATCACAACTAGAATTCCTGGGAAAAATACAAAAAAAGCAACTATTTGAGAATTCTGGAAACACACACACACACACACACACACAAACAGGCAAATTGGGGAAGTCAACACTTGACAAAAGACAAGGGCAGTGGCTGTGAGTTTTCTATTTGTTTGTTCTTGTCTCCTTTGCCCCACAGGTGAGCCAAATCAGGACACTGTGGCATGCTCAGAGAGGAAGTGCTCCGAGAGAAAGCTGCCTTTCTGGCCAAAAGACAGGGCGAGGGGTCCCTTTGAGCTGAGGAGCACAGGGAAATTCCCCTGTCGCATCCCCCACACACACTTCTTCCTCTCACTGCTCGGCCCCAAGGGCACTCATGCAGCGCTCTCTGATGATGCAGGAAGCTAACCCTCAGGGAGTCCCATCTTTCTGGCCAGAGGAACCACACAAAGGGGTCCACAGGAGCCAGACTGTGAGGGAAATCTCAATGAGGAGAAGGCTAGCTGCCTTTATCAGGGACATATAGCAGGGATTAGGGATTATGATGCTCTGGACATTGACAGTTCACATCATCCATTACAGCAGAAGTTAGAAGGCAACAGAATAAGTGCTTCAAAATTGTAAATGAATTCTTTTCCACCTAGAATTATTCAGCTAAACTAGCAATCAAGTAAATGTGGGTAGAATAAGCACATTTGAGATGCACAAGTCTCAATGTATTTTCCCTGCACTCTGTTGGAACGGATTGAAGAACGCATTCTACTGTAAAAAGGAAAGATATGCATAGTTTACTAGATGTTCAGTTGTGAATAGCACTGATGTAGTTCCAGGAATGTAAATACTAAACATTGATAACAATGTAATTCTGTTGGGAGACAGGGGATGGGGAAAGTGGCTGTGGGGTGGAGACAGAGGGAGGAAAGAGTGGGATGTCAGCAGATGATAACTAAAACTGAAAAAAGCAAGTAGTCACTCAAAACATACTGTATTTAGAGTCACAGAAGCAAACATCTAAATAATCAGCTAAAATATATTAAACTTGTATATTAAACTGCCTCTGGGGGAGGACAAACTGAGATGGTGGGATGATGGGACACTGTTGTTTTTAATAGCAAACCTTACAAAGCTAACTGACTGTAAACCATGGGGATGCATAACTTTGACCAACACAAACAAAAATGAAGGCAGCAGGACTTCGACATGGCCACAAAGTCAGGTGATCTGTCCTCAGTACTCAAGGTTCTCTGGAAGGACTGCCTTATCCAACTCAAACTCACAGAATGACAATGTGTTAATATATGATGTAAAATAGAACTTCCAGTTTGACCAAATACTTGCTCACTGGGCCAAGAATGGTGTTTGGCATATAATAGGCATTCAACTAATATTTGCCTGATACTTGTTTCATTGATTAGCACATTCTCTATAGCAAAAACAAACAAACAAACAAAACCCCACAATTATTATCAGAAAGTTGCTTGGTGAGCACAGAGCCAGGTCAAGGAGTCAGTTGGACAGTCTTGGTCATGGCCATGGTGGTGTCGGATGTATCCATTTCAGCTAAGGGAATGAACTCTTCAGACCGTTCACTCCTCTATTCATGGGTTAGGGCACCTCCAGCCTTGATGGCACTGGCTTGTCACCTCTTTGACCCTCTCTTTCTTTGCTTCCATTGCTGATCACCCCCCTCCTTCTACTTCACTCTCTTACTACCCTCCATAGGGCTACAGCTGTCCCTGGAAACATTTCCTTTATTTTAGGTGCGGTTAATTTTGGTAGATGTAAAAATAGAATGGTGGTTATATACTTGTTAAATGTCTTTGTCAATTAAAGATGCAAACTGAAGTATTAATGAGTGAAATAACATGTTATATGAATTTTGCTTAAAACACTTCAAAAAAAGCAAAAGGCAGGAAAGGAATAGATGAAATAAGGTTGGCAAAATCTTGATAATTATTGAAGTGGGCTGCTAGGTGCATAGAACATCTATATAGCGTCCTTTCTATTGTTGTGTATATTAGAAATTTTCCTTAAAAATAATAAATATAAAATTAAATTAAAAATAGCCTCTTTAAAATGTTTTTTAAATATTACAAGTAGAATTCCTCTTTTAACATTGTTACTGTTATCGTTGTATTTTATAGAAATACTAGAAGCCCAGTGCACAGATTCGTGCACATTGAAAGGAAATTAATTAGAAGAAATATTTTAATATCGCTGTTCGCCCTTTCTCTATAATAGAAGTGTCAACCAAATTCACCATCAACAAGGACAGATCAAAACAAACACGTGTGATTGGTGCCAGCAAGAGCTTTATATATAGATAGATAAACTTGCTTAATTAGACCTGCTTTCTGATTTAGCTAAACTTTTTCCAGCCCAGTGAAGCACCCCAACTTCTCTTTCAGGTAATTGTCAGCAACACAGCAGTAAATATCAACACAAAGCAAATTATTGTAGATCACACAGGAAGAACAAAGGGTAAAATATTTAACTGCAGCAGTGTTTGACTATATTCTGCACAGTGAGAAAACCTGAAGTCATTTTCAAGGTCCACCATTTCTTACTTCTTTTCAGTCGGGTCAAGTTTCTAAGCTTTCTAAATCTCCATTTTCCGGCTAATGAAAAGAAAATAGGATTCCTCTGAGTCTCCTATCTACCTATTCTAGGACTTCTGTGAGGATCAAATGAGATGAGGCATGGGAAAACACTTCACAGACATTTGGTTAAAGTGTAAAATGTTTCCACCTGGCTATAAAGCAAGTCGTGTTCCTGGGCTGAAGAAACTCCAAGGAGGCTAGTCGCTAGGGAGAGGAAGCTGGGTGTTGCTCTGTGATGTCATTACCCGGCACCCACAGCGACCGTTTCTGGGCTGGGCTGGGCTGTGGGCCGCATTTTATACCATGGGGTCTCAGCAGCGTCGGCTGTGATTTGGTGGGGTGTCGCTCTGGGGTGGTGGCAGGGCCTATGTCCCAATGGGAGGAAGCCAAGTGTTGTTTTGTGGGCACCAGGTCCACGGTGCCCTTTCACTGTAAATGGCCAGTGCGTGCCAGGGCAGCTCCTGCATTGAGCGTCTGCCCCCTGGTGGTCAGTGCACATCATAGTGACCAGTTGGACAGTCGGACACTTAGCATATCCTTTTGTATAGAGAGATAGTCTATTTAGAAAAGAAAACTGAACCTGTGGTTGATGTTGAAAATGACGGAAAAATATTTTTCCATCTCAAAGAAGCCTAAAATGCTAAGGAAGGAAAAATGGTGTTTCTGAATGGTAACATTGTAATTAAAAATACAGTGTCCCCCCTTATCCATGGTTTCACTTTCCACAGTTGCATTTACCCATAGTCAACTGTGGTCTGAAAATATCAAATGGAAAATTCCAGAAATAAACAATTTATAAGTTTCAAATTATGCCCTGTTTAGAGTAGCTTGATGAGATCTCCCACCATCCCACTCCGTCCCACCCGATACATGAATCACCCCCTTTGTCTGGCATCTCCACGCTGTGTACGCTCCCTGCCCATTAGTCACTTAGGCATCATCTGGGTTATCAGATCAACTGTTGTAGTATCACCGTGCTTGTGTTCAAGTAACCCTTATTTTACTTAATAATAGCCCCAAAGCTCAAGAGTAGTGATGCTAGCAATTCAGACACACCAAAGAGAAGCCATAAAGTGCTTCCTTTACGTGAAAAAAATGTAAGTATGTATAGGAAAAAACATGGTATATGTAGGGTTCAGTACAGTCTGCAGTTTCAGTATCCCCTGAGGGTCTTGGAATCTATTCCCCTGCAAAAGGGGGCAGGGCGGCCACAGTACAGGAAAATAGAATTCCTAATAAAATGTTACTATCTGACCACTTGAGTGAAAACATCACACTTCCTTGAATAAGATAGTACCCAGTTGACTAATGAATCTTGACAAAATGCTTTCTCCCTTCTGTTTCCCAGAGGCCGTTTCTCCATAGTGAAGAAGTGCATCCACAAAGCCACCCGCAAAGATGTTGCTGTGAAATTCGTCAGCAAAAAAATGAAGAAGAAAGAGCAGGCTGCCCATGAGGCCGCCCTCCTCCAGCACCTGCAGCACCCACAGTACATCACTCTCCACGACACCTACGAGTCCCCCACGTCCTACATCCTGATTCTGGAACTGTAAGTACAGGCGTCGTCTCCCTAAGGTGGTCCCCAGCTGTTTGGGTTATTTACTGGCAGTTGTCTTTAACACAGTGTCTTAGGTGACGAAGTGTTCTATAGCACATGCCCTCTGCCCTCCAGTTTATAAAAATGTTATTCCCATTTTTTAGAAAATCCAGGATAAGGAAGCTCCTTAAAGGTAGGAATTGGAAAAGCTGGGACTTAAACCCACATCTCTCTCACTCAGTTTTCATTTTCTTCCTGTTGTGGACTCTTGAGCTGGGCAGTTTAGAAAAACCTGATGGACAATAGGCTTATCGACAGGGCTGGGGTTGAAATGAGAGAAGGTTTGTGCCTCAATCCACTGCCATCACATCCCATCTACCATCCAAGAAATCCCTTTAAGGGTGGAACCTTAGCTTCGAAATGTCCCACTCATTCCAGATTTCCTAGGGACTCAGGCAACCATCTATTTTGGCCACAGAAGACATCAGATAAAGTAGTGAGGTCCCATTCTCCTCACCACTACCCCAAGCTAAGGACAGAGAGCATGCTGTGTGCTGTAGAAAGACTTTACAGAGACTAAACAAAGTCTTTCAGCAGTGCTGAGCCCTCATAGAAATGTTATCAGATTGGTGCTGATGAGACCCGGCCTGGGGAGGAGACAGGCATTGGCACTGAAGGCCAATGCTGTGTACGGCTCCACAGAACCTCTGTTCAGTAGAGAAGCACCTGCACTTACAGCTTAAAACTGTCATTTTAGTCTTGCTCTTGTGTGCTTCTTGGTCTAGCTCAGCGATTTTCAACCGGTGTGCTGCAAGAATTTTAAAACATGCAATACCTGACTATTTAGTCAGGGGCACTGATCTCTTTTCCCTTAGATTGTCAAATAAAAAATTGACAACAACCAACACAACAGTAGCTGTCCAGTGTGAATGAATCAAAATTATACTTATTTTTTTGTCAGATGAGCAAAAAAACATTTTTGGTGTTATGCAGAATTTTAGTAGTTAGTTTATGTGTGCCATGAAATGAAAAAAGTTGAAAATTGTTGGTGTAGCTGTATGCGTATGGGGGTGTTTGCAGAAGTAACTTATCATAAATTTATTTATGATGAATAAAAAAAGCCCAGCCCTAACCAGTTTAGCTCAGTGGATAGAGCATCGGCCTGCAGACTGAAAGGTCCCAGGTTCGATTCCGGTCAAGGGCATGTACCTTGGTTTCGGGCACATCCCCAGTAGGAGGTGTGCAGGAGGCAGCTGATCGATGTTTCTAACTCTCTATCCCTCTCCCTTCCTCTCTGTAAAAAATCAATAAAATATTTTTTTAAAAAAAAGCCCAAATGCAGACATCTTAGGCTAAATTTGTAACTTGGTTGAAAAGAAACAAAACCAACATTGTTAGTATTGGTAACTCTTTTGTGATACTTACACAGCTATGCAGTAGCTGGTAGATTGTCACTTTGGACTTAGCAAATGCACTTACAAACAGCCTTTCTGAGCCTAACCTGTTTGTTTGGGAGCTTCATAACTCAAAAGGTGAATTCTGTGGACAGTGAATTATCTTTGTTTACAAGTGACATGTAATATTTGCCTATACTTCCGATAAAAGGTATTATCACTTGCATACCAAGGTGGTACAGCAACCCAGAACCTTTACTCCTCCAGATTGCAGATCACCATCCCAGGGAAGGTGTCAATCACCAGGCTCTTGGTGCGATGGAAAGACGAGCCCTTGGAATGAAGAAACTGGGCTCTAACCCCAGCTCCGTGTTTGGGGCAGTGTATGTGGCTTCCTGGACCTCAGGGTTCTCATCTGTGAAGTCTGAAGAATTAGTCCCACTTCTCAGAGATGTTGCAGGGATTAAACTAGATGAAGAGTGAATTGAACTAGTTTATCAACATGTACTGGGCACTCACTATGTGCCAACCACTGTGTAGACCTGAATCGGGGTGGGGAGAACAAAGATGAAAAAAGTAGCTCTTGACCATGATGAGTTACGTTGAATGAGGAAGACCAATAGCTAAATGAATGGTTTCAATTTCGTAGGTACATGCATATTTTGGAGAGAGTTACTGTGAGAACCTAGAAAGGTACTTGGTTGGACTTGAGGTGAGAGGCAGTTCCTGTGCTAAATCTTGGTTATGCTGTGACTGTGGGTCTCCCTTTCTGTGACCATCCAAATGGCTGGTAGAGCTTTTCTCTACCAGGCAACTGAAGCAGATGCCTGAGGTTCCAATCCTCTAGTCCAGCGGTTCTCAACCTGTGGGTCGCAAACAATGAAAATACATCCTGCATATCAGATATTTACATTACGATTCATAACAATAGCAAAATTACAGTTATGAAGTAGCAACGAAAATAATTTTATGGTTGGGGGTCACCACAACATGAGGAACTATATTAAAGGGGCGCGGCATTAGGAAGGTTGAGAACCACATGGCAGGGCCTGGGCATCTGCATTATCCAAGAGCTCTAAATGTGAACTTGGTGGCTGAGACTTTCGGATCTCGGAGCAGTGCTGCTGTTAATTTCTCCCTTACGTGCTCCAAGAAGTCCAGGGGGATGCATCTCACAAGCCCAAAACTACTTCATTCCATACTCACCACGCCCACCCCATGCCTGTCAGGGTCAGGGAAGGAAGACAAAGGAGGTCTTCATTGTTCCCAACCTTTGCTCCTGTCAAGGGGTGCAGAAGAGACCTGTAGGAAGGAAGGAGCTGGAGAAGAAAATGGAAACTGGGCCAAAGGCATTTCAGCTGTGCTGATCCTTACTCACGCTTCTCTGTCTGGGCATTTCCTGGGGATGTGCTTTTAAGAGCCCAGTGCACAGAGCATAACTGACATCTGGTCACTCCTTGCTAAAGAGGGCACAGGTACCTGGAAGTAGGTGACATTGCCAGGCCAGTGGCTCAGTGGTTGAATGTCATCCCAAGCGCCAAGAGGTCGTCGGTACGATTCAGTTTCAGGCTCGATCCCCAGTAGGGGGCATGCTGGAGGCAGCTGGTGGATTTTTCTATCTCTTTCTCCCTCTCCTTCCTCTCTCTCTAAAAATCAGTAAAAACATATTTTTTAATAAAAGAAAGTAGTTGGCATTTATTGAGCACTTACTATTACTACCAATTATGTGTACATGCCTCATAATTGTCTCACTTGGTCCCTGCACAGTCCTCGTAATGAAGTAGGTATTATTGTTGTTGTTGTTATTATTATTCCCACTTTAAAGATGAGGTAACCATAACACAGAGAACTAAATGACTTGCCCTAAGCTCCCAGCCTGCAAGTGGCAGAATCAGGATTCAAATCAGGGTCTGCCTGGTTCCTCCTACCTTGTTCTCAGTCACAGTTTTTAAGGTTGAAAAGTTGCTTCTAGTAAAAGGCAAAGGTTTCAAAAGAGGGTCAAGAATGCCAAAGAAAAACTTTGCCTACTTCCTGGTTTTCCCCAACTAAAACTTGACAAATAAAAATCCTTGAGGGGTGTCAATTCTAATTCATTTATTTACTTATATTAGAATCTTTATGAATATTAAACAGAAACTAGGCTGCCACAATTTAAATTTTTTGTGTGTGAGTTCACAATGCCATTTGGGGTGAGAGAAGGTAGGCAAGCTTTAACCACTCTGACTTTGTAGAAGGAAACAAATAAAAGCCTGTGGGTCTGCTTGTAGCCACCAGGTTCCAGATAATCAGATATTGCTGAGATAGCTTCCAATCTCTCTCTCTGAAGACTTCTCTATTTTACAACCTAACCTCTCAAAGGGCCTTGGAGTTGGATCTTTTTGGCCATGAGCAATTTTAAAAGTTAACCGAACAGAATGTGTCTTAAACAAGGTTATACAGATGTCTTCCCTGAAGCACACCACATTTGTAATTTTATTTACTTGTTTGCTTATTTATTTGTTTGTTCGTTTTAGTTCTAACTAAACTCTGGATAAAATATGCCTGTATGACCACTTTGATCTCTATAACAGGGGGTAGGAAAGATCTTACAGATTTGTATGTGTGTTATTTCTTTGTTTCTTTACAAACATAGTTCCTTTGCCTCTTCCTCCCTACTTTCAGGATGGATGATGGCCGGCTCCTGGACTACCTTATGAATCATGACGAGCTGATGGAAGAAAAGGTGGCCTTCTATATCCGAGACATCATGGAAGCACTGCAGTACCTTCACAACTGTAGGGTGGCCCATTTGGACATCAAGGTAATAAGAAACAGCCACCCCTGCAGGATAGTCCAACCTGCCAATCATGATCCTTGAGGGATGTTAATTCTAATTCATTTTTATTTACTTAGATTGGAACCCTTCTGAATATTAAACAGAAACTAGGTTATCACACAATTTAAATGTGTTTTTCGTGAGTTCACAATGACATTTGGGGCGAGGGAAGGTAGGCAAGCTTTAACCACTACTTCTAACTTTGTAGAAGGAAGCAAATAAATGTCAACTTTTCCATGGTGCTCAAGAAAGGCCCTGTTCTCCAAAATGAATAATTTATTTCTTCACTTGATTCACTGCAGAAGTAAGGGATACCTATGAAAACATGATTTTCCATGTCAAAAGACCTCCCACCCCCATTTAAGCTTAGTTTGAAGCCTCCTATGTGCTTTGCAGAGGGAATGTCCCGTACACTATAGGCTTTATCAAAATACTAGAGGCCCGGTGCACGAAATTCATGCACTGGGGGTTGGGGGGAGGGTGTCCCTCAGCCCGGCCTGCCCCTCTCACAGTCTGGGAGCCCTCAGGGGTTGTCTGACTGATGGCTAAGCCATCAGTCGGACATCCATAGGGGTGCCACGGAAGCGGGAGAGGCTCCCGCCACCACTGCTGTGCTCTCCAGCTGTGAGCCCAGCTTCTGGCTGAGTGGTGCTCCCCCTGTGGGAGCACACTGACCACCAGGGGGCAGCTGCTGCATTGAGCACCTGCCCCCTGGTGGTCAGTGAGCATCATAGCGATCGGTCGTTCTGCTGTTCGGTCGATTTGCATATTAGCCTTTTATTATATAGGATAGCAGAGCTGTGCTTGAACTAATGGAGTCCTACTGATAGTCAAACAGAGAGCTGAACTTGCCTTCTCTTTTCCCCGCCTCCTTGGAACTATCTCCTCAGCCTGAAAACCTGCTCATTGACCTGCGGATTCCAGTGCCTCGAGTGAAGCTCATCGACTTGGAGGATGCTGTCCAGATCTCAGGTCACTTCCACATCCACCACCTGCTGGGCAACCCTGAGTTTGCTGCCCCGGAAGTGATCCAAGGCATCCCTGTGTCCCTGGGCACGGACATCTGGAGCATTGGGGTTCTGACGTATGTCATGCTGAGTGGGGTCTCCCCCTTCCTGGATGAGAGCAAAGAAGAGACGTGTATCAATGTGTGTCGGGTGGACTTCAGCTTCCCCCATGAATACTTCTGTGGCGTGAGCAATGCCGCCAGAGATTTCATCAATGTGATCCTACAGGAAGACTTCCGGAGGCGGCCCACGGCAGCCACCTGCCTGCAGCATCCGTGGCTGCAGCCCCACAATGGCAGCTACTCCAAGATCCCTCTGGACACCTCCCGCCTGGCGTGCTTCATAGAACGCCGCAAGCATCAGAACGATGTGCGGCCCATTCCCAATGTCAAGAGCTACATCGTCAACAGGGTAAACCAAGGGACGTAGCCGTGTCCCAGCCCTGGAGGTTTCACATGGAAGTGCAGTGTGAACCAAAGCAAGACTGAATGTGCTGTAAATAATTCTGTTCATTATTTCACTCCGTGCAGTTCTCTGGACTGAGAGATAGTCCCTCTTAAACCTCGTCAGTGGTTATTCAGGGTCTGAGCAGCAGAAAAATCACCCTACATCCAGGGCTTTCCACAAGGCCATTCGGAAGAGACAAAGGAGGAGAAAGTCACAGAGAGTATTACAAAGAGGGGCAAGGATAACAAGAATACTAGCTGATACAGAATATTAATTGTGTGTTCCAAAGAGAGTGGGTAACTGGACAAAACTTCAGCTCACTGTCGTGAGTGTAAAAGGTTTCTCTGCCTTGGCTGAAATTTTAAGCCAAAAGTTCTGTTTAACAGAGATGTCATGTATGCCAACTAGTGTGATTTAGATTCCTTAGATATAGTTTCTTTATAGGAACCATCTACACATACAGTGAACTATGTCCCATTCCGAATTCAGAGTTTTATAATGTAGAGGTCTATATGAAATCAGCATAAGTAACTTTGAGTGCTCCAGTTAGGACAGTGATTTCTTTACCGAAGCATTACATTGTTTTGACTAAGCACAATTAGATGACGAGTTTTTTAGAGCATTTTATACATCTTGTATAGAAATCTTTTACCAGAACCTGTGCATGAAGAGAAAGCAGCTACCCCTTGGCAATCTGTGGGTGAGAAGGCCTTCCTCTCAGTCACAGGCATTTGACTCGCGTAGGTTCTGTATAGGAAATGCTACTCCCCAATTCACTGGCAGCTCAGAGTTCATCTGGCAGGAAAGCCTGCCGGAAAATCAGTCCATATACAGTAAGAGTTGTAGGCTGCTTTTATGTCTACACTTGCTTTGAAATTGATAGCGAATATAACAGGTTCATACAAAAGGGCAAATAGAAACCTTTCCTACAATTTCTCTGAACACTGTACCACCGCTTTCTGCTGACCTCTACAACTGTAGAATGCAGTCCCCAGAAAGCTGGCCTACTTGATTTCCTACCCCTTGTGGAAGCTAAGGGGTGCTCACCAAAAGGAGGCAGCCATATATAGGCCTTGTAAAGGCCTGGTCCCAAGTCCTTTTTGAAGCCATGGAATAAAACCCGATACATCAGCCTAATAGAGCATTGAGTTTTAACTGCGATTGCAATACCTACCACCACTCAGCCGCCAATGTTTCCTGAGACTAAAAGGACTAATTGCACTTTGAGGCCGATGCTGCTTTCTGGTGTATATTCTCCTTATCAGATGACTATTAACTGCCCTTTGTTCTGCTAGTGGAAGAACAATTAAACCTGGGCATTTCATGTTTTGTTTTTTCTATTTTTTGTTTTGGAAAACGTTTTTGTTTTTGTGTTTGTACATGATCCACTCTTTGTTTTCTGGAACATGTTTTGAAACTTGTGGTTATGCAAACAATATTTTAAATATTTAAGTCACATATTTGTCCAAATCAGGTTTAATGGCATTGCTTCTGTCCTAGAGTAGGATTGAGAACATTGAAATCATGCAGCTCAGAAGTGCAAGCAGGGAGCTGACGAAGGATAAACAGAACTACAAACCTATCTAAGTGAAAAAGAAGGGTGGACATAAGCCTGAACTTTAATATATAAAAACACTGATCTGCACAGTGGAAAGGTAGAATTAAAAATACTCATCATTCCTTCCCACTGATTTCAAAGTCAACTTCCTCATCTACCCTCCACTTCATCCCATCCAAGATTATAAATTAATAAATGAGTAGAAAGTATAAGCAATAAGACTAGATAGCACTTCGTATTTTCAGGATTAACCAAATATGTGGAAACCGACTCCGACTGTGTTCGTTTCCTAGTTTTTGAATGGCCTGGGCCGTCAAGGGTCCCTTCCTCAGAGCGCTCCCTTGATGAACCCTCCATAGTCTTCACTTAAAAACGAATGTATATACAAATGCTATGTGACATGATATTTTAAAATGTGAAACAATTTACCGAAAACTCTTTTCGTAAACATGTCTTTATTGTGAGACATAGCGTAAAAGAAGAAAGCCTGGTCCCTGCGCTCATCGTGAGATAGAGTGCGGGCACTGGGGATTCCAAATATCCATATATATGGCCTGGCAAGTTCCGTTCTGTCCACCCCGGATGGCGACGAAAGAGCCCCTGCTGAGTCATTCCGAGTGTTGATGACCAAGCAGGAGACAAGCCGAGTTTCTGCTTAAGAAGGGCAGGGCCCAGGACAATGGTGCACGGGCTGCACAGGAGAGCATCAGTGGAATCGTGCTGTGGGGAGGGCGGTTGACAGGATGTTAGAGCCAAAGCTTTTGCATCAGCTTTTACAGCGGGGTGGGGAGGATTCAGACATGAAATTGCATGGAATTCCCCCTCCCCAAGGGCACTTGGGGAAGTGAGGAGCCGGAAGGGAAAGGACACAGGCATGAAAAGTAGTGTGGTTGTGTTAACTCGAGCCAAAGTACAATCATTAGAGTAGAGTAAGTTTAATAGAGGCCCCAAGAGGAAGAGGGTATCGTTTATCTAGTTTGGCAACTGAAGGAAACTCACAGGGACGCCCCCTGTCTGCAAAGTTTCTGGCTCCTCCCAACTGTGATGAGGTAGCGATCCTGGTTCAAGAATTCTCCACAGCGAGTTGGAAGTAACACGGAGTCCCAGAACAGGACTGGGAAATGGACTTTAGGTGAGAGATGAGGGGCCAGGGATCACTTCCTTGTACCTGTTTTGGGAGATATATTTAGTCCTTCGAATAACAGAAAAGTGGAAAGGAGAGAAAATAGTCCGTTTCTCTAATTAGTCCACTTCTCTAAAACAGTGGTCCTTGAAATCAAAACTTAATGAGGAATTAGTGAAAGTGAACTTCTAGTTGAACTGGGAAAAAATATAAATGTTGGTTAAAGTCACAGGCTTCTTGCTTGGCTTATATTCATTGCATAGGGTTTGGGGTTTTTGTTTGGTTTGTTTTGTAAAGGTGGGATGGAGAAAAAAGGGAAAGATCAGGGACAACTCATAATAATTTTTAAAAGGCATAATGATTTACTGCATCTTTTACAATTGTTTCAGATTAAATAGATTTATATCCACTTACAGCTGAATGTGGGAACATTTTTTTAAAAAATCGTGGTGTTGGCAGTGTCCTTCGGGTCTCTCACAGCCATATCACTCTTGGGGGAGAGGAGGAGGGGAAAAGCTGGCTTCACTGCTTTGTGACTCACAAAGCCTTTATAATGGTAGTGCCTTTCAGAGGGGAGGATGGGAGATAAAGAAGTTCATTGTATTTAGAGTGACTGATATTGCAGCATTTTTCTTCACTTTATAATATCTTTTAAATGAAAACATCTGAATATAGGGTGAGCCTAGGAATTCTTGAGTTACAACCTCAGCTGTTCCTGATTCATCCTTTCTTACAGAAAGTCTTTGTTTTTATTTGGCCCAACTGTCCCCACTGTTAGAAAGTTAGGGGGAAAGAGGGTAGACGTTAATTTCATAGGAATGTTGGAAGAATACCTTAGTTGGGATGTCTAGAAAATACCTTGATTTTTTTTAAAGTGCTACACACTGCCAGTGCTAAGAATTTTATTGATAGGAACTTTGAACATTCCAATTTTTCAATATTCGTGTCTTTAGATACCTTTTGCAAACCCATGAGGTTAAATTACATCAAGTGATTTTAACTGGAAGTACTAAGTGCTCTTTATCTATGTTATTTGGTCTTGGCCTGTAATTTTGATCATTTAAAAGCTTGTCTACAGAAAAAGGTTAGGAAGAACTGGTTGAAGTCTCATGTCAGTAAGCTGTCTTCTTCAGTATTTCTTATGGCAGACACACGAGTAAGATGCCCTCCAAAGCAACCGCTACTCTCTCCTCTCAGAGAGCTTTGCACTCTGGGAAAATTGGCAGAGAAGACCCCAGACAGTCACTTTCCTCACTGGGAGGGCAGAAGTGAGAAGAAAATATTGTCTGATTTTACACCTCACTCTTCAGAGTCTCACTGTCATCTGCTACAGAAACAAGTTAAATGTGCAGGTGTAGAAATGAATAGAACTGTTGGTTTGGGGAAGGAAAATCTTGAATCTTTCTTTTTTTTAAGATAATTCGTTTTTTCAGGAGCATATTTGCTTTCTCATAGCCTTTATGATTTGGTGCCATGAGTTAGTCATCACTTTTTTCTCATGTGAAAGAGCATGGAAATGTACATCTGTGAGAATATGTCCCCATTAGAGAATTAGAAAGCAAATATATTATAAACCAGATGGAGGTTATTTCTGTGAATTAACTAAAACTTTGCCCCATGAATTTGATAGAGGAGGGAATATTTCACACATAAGGGGTCTCTGCAGCGGGGCAAATGTGCAAATACCATCCCTTGCTCAGTTTGGGGGAATGTTGACCTATTTCTTTCTCTCCCATGGAGCATCTCTGTGGAGTCCAGGCTAGGCAAACACAGTATGTGAGCTTTCAGTGGCTTCATTTGTATTATGGTTTTTCTTAACTATTTAAAATCTCGGGATCACATACTCCACTAAGGGAAGCTACTATGTTCGTATTCATTTTATAAACACTCTAAGGCTCTGGTTGTTTCATTAACTCTAGAGGATTAAAAGGCACTGCATTTTGTTCACAGACTACACATTAGAAAATATTCATGTGAGAAACCTATACAGAAATAGAACACAGAGGTATCATAGGCCGTATTTTCTTCATCACTTTTTAAAAAATATATTTTTATTGATTTCAGAGAGGAAGGGAGAGGGAGAGAAATGGAAACATCAATGATGAGAAAGAATCATTGATGCGCTGTCTCCTGCACTCTCCCCCCACCCCACTGGAGACCGAGCCCGAAACCCAGGCATGTGCCCTTGACCTGAATCGAACCCAGGACCCTCCAGTCCACAGGCCGACGCTCATCCACTAAGCCAAACCGGCCAGGGCCATCACTTTTAATATATGTAGAAGTTAAAAAGCAATTACTCTAAGGCAAATTTTCATCTTCGAGGGATATTTGCGGAAAGCCTGCAATAGTACTCATAGGCTATTGTGTTTCCCTGTCAGCCTGTTTGCTGGGAGATTCTAAACTGTGGTCAGATTTAGTTTCTATTCAAATGTTCAAGATTAACTGCTTATTCACATAACTTATTTTGGATAGTGATAATAGCTGAGAAAATGGAGGGTGGTAGAAAAACGTGCAAATAAAATTATCGGAGTCCCAACTCTGGAGGCTTAATTTAAGCAACCTAACTTGCTAGCCCAAGAATAGCTAGAATAAGAGTTCCATCATGCCTGACTTCTTTCAAGAAATGAATCCACATCCAGGAGTACTATGGAAACTGTTACCATGATCTCAAGGACTGTGGTTATGAATTTGAAGTTAACAAACGTACATATTCTCTTACTAACTTAAGCCATATCTGTCATCTCTATGTTTGATCTTTTTTTACCCTGGTGCTTTTACCTCTGTTTCTGCCAAACTTCAGCCTACTCTATGGGGAAAGTGAGTGAAACTGTAGTTAAGACAAATGTGAAGACTGAAAAAACTAAACATCCTCTTTAGAGTGAGATCCTAGTCAGAGAACAGTAGTGATCAAAGTGCAAACTGTTAGAAAATACGGATATATGTACATCTGTACATGTATATAGTGTATAATATATATGTATATGTTATTGCTCATATGCAGAAATCTATCCATTTGAAGACAGCCCAGATGGGTCAGTTTTTCTATTGGAAAACGATTCAGGGCCATTCAAAATCATTAGGGCTGGTGGGTAGAGTTAGATTCTACTCAATTAGGAATTATTCGCAGTCTTGAAGTCCACAAAACCAAATCAACAAAGCCTGAAGCATAATGGGGCCATTGCTTAGGATATTATGCTTACATGGAGTCAGAAGTACCTTTATATTTGAATTATTAACAGTTGGTTTGCAAACTGCACTGGCACCTCTTGGTTTTGAGTGACCCCTCCCCACCAAGTCTTTTGGGGTGGCTTCTCTGGCTATTCAGATAAAAGGGCCTTCTCCATAAGTGGACAGGTTTCCCCATAGGGACCATTACACATATACATATAAGTTCATACTTTCATCAGGCTTGTTAATAATTGGTTTAAAAATCACTCCACAGTATTGATAAATAGCTCTATATTTTCAAGGTGCAGAAGAATTCCACAGCCTTAATTATTTCAGTGTCTTGCTGGTCTGCCTTAAGTGTATCTTCTGGGTTTTAGTTGTCTTATTATTTTTAAAATTTTCAGCAGTTATTCATTTTGTATGCACACAATGTCGTTTTGTAAATGTAGGTTGTAAATATTTTATTTGTAAGTCAAATTCACTCATGTGTAATGTTGTAAAGTGATGACCTGCTGTCTTGTCATTACTATAGTAAATGTTATAAGTTATGGATTGAAACTTCAAAATGTACATCTCACAAGTTATTCATGCCTATAAATATACTATACGAAAGATGATTATTTCTGGTGGCTTTTTTGTTTTCTAATTAAAACCTTTATTCAAAAAAGTAATTTTCTCTCTCTTTCCCCAAATATATGAAAGCTTTTGACAAGGTAAAAATATTACAACACTTTTTGCCCAGGATTTTGGATAGAAAGTAACAATTTTATAGCCTGGAGAAGAATTCTAAGGCATTTTTTTATTTTTATATATTTTTATTGATTTCAGAGAAGAAGGGAGAGGGAGAGAGAGATAGAAACATCATTGATGAGCTGCCTCCTGCATGGCCCCTACTGGGGACCGAGCCCGCAGTCCAGACATGTGCCCTTGACTTGAATCAAACCTGGGACCCTTCAGTCCTCAGGCCGGCGCTCTATCCACTGAGCCAAACTGACTAGGGCCATTTTTTGTTTTTTAATATGTTTTATTGATTTTTTACAGAGAGGAAGGGAGAGGGATAGAGAGCCAGAAACATCAAAGAGAGAGAAATATCCATCAGCTGACTCCTGCACACTCCCTACCAGGGATATGCCTGCAACCAAGGTACATGCCCCTGACTGGAATGAACCAGGACCTTTCAGTCCGCAGGCCGAAGTTCTATCCACTGAGCCAAACCAGTCAGGGCCATTTTTTTTTTAAATGCTTAATAAGCCTCAGGTGTGAATTGTTAACTGCATTCTAGTGTTTCATGTGGCAACTTTGTTAGCAAATTGGCAGGCTTTTTGGGCTGGATCTCACAAGTTTATGAATCATAGTGTGAACTCGAGGAATCTGGATTAGCCTACATAGATATGATCAGGCTTCGAAAGACTCTGCATGTGCCACCCAAGTGCAAAAAAGACTGATTCATAGTACAGTGTCAGTTAGCTAGAGTGTTCAAATTGATTGGCTTATTTTGCCAATAAAAACAAAACGTTTTGCCCTAGCTGGTTTTGCTGGGTGTATAGAGCGTCAGCCTGTGGACTCAAGGGTTCCTGGTTCGATTCCACTCAAAGGTACATGCCCAGGTTGTGGGCTCAGTCCCCAATAGGGGGCATGCAGGATGCAGCCAATCAATGATTCCCTCTCATCATTGATGTTTCTATCTCTGTCTTCCTCTTCCTTCCTCTCTGAAATCAATAAAAATATATTTAAAAAAATGTTTTGCCCTAGCTGGTTTTGCTCAGTGGATAGAGCGTTGGCCTGCAGACTGAAAGGTCCCAGGTTCAATTAATTTGATTGATTTCCCTCTCCCTTCCTCTCTGAAATCAATAAAAAATATATATATAAATGTTTTAATATTTGGCTTCTATTTCATCAAGATTTACTACATCTATTTAAAGTGAGAAACAACTGTCAACAGACAGGCTCTTCACACTGGTTGGTCAGCACAATTTCTTCAGAGAAAACGCAGTATACATAAATAATATTGAAATGAAATAGAAATCAATTTGATGAGCAACAATCATTAGCCCTATGGCTTTCTGGGTTGTGTGCCTTAAAGTATTGCCCTCTACACGTAATGAGAACTTCCTCCTCTTTAAGAGATTTATTTGTAAAGACCGAATATGCTTGGAATTTCAGATTGGCAGGCCAGGTTACGCTCCTGGATAACTTGGATCGCAGTCAATTCATCCTCTGCTCTCCTCCCTCTCTCTTCATCAGCTGTACACGTGCTACATGCCGAGCACCTGAGCTGCTCTAAGGGGAATAAACATACTCCTCCAGGACACACAGAGCCCACAGAGGAGGTAATGAACCTGCTGAGAGGTGTATAGTCCCACGTGCAAATTGCTGACATTGTCACGTGACGGATGCTGGAACGTTAATAGAAAAATTGGGAAAAGGTCCCCGCTTTCGAGAACTTGCACTTCATTTGGTGAAACCAGGTGGGGGGCGTGGCTAGTAACCAGCAAATACAGACGTGCTTGCCTAAGTAGTGGAGCTAATGAAGAGGACTCAGCTTTAAAAAGTGGGCAGGGTTCCGATACAGCCTCTTTTTTTTTTTTTTTTTCGCTAAAAGTATTACAAAGGGTATTACATAAGTGTCCTTTTTTCCCCCCCACCCTTGACAAGCCCCTGCCCTCCCTTACCCCCCAGTGTCTTATGTCCATTAGTTATGGTTATATGGATCAGATACAGCCTCTTGAAAGGCTTCGCGTCACGTTCTTGGAGCCGATCTACCTATTCCGGGCTTTAAATTACATCGATCCCATGCAGAGGCCGCCGACATAAACATAAATCTCAGCCACGTGCACTGCCGCCACCTGACCCTCGTTACCTGGGCCCCAGAAGAGCGCGCACAGAGCCAGTCCGCCGCCGGAAAAGGGGCGGAGGGGGGGCGGGGCTTCGCGGGTGACGTCATCAGAGCGCCGCCGTGCCGGCGCGCTACGGCTTTTGGCGCGAGTGTGGACGCCTGCACCATGGCGGTCGCCGATGCAGCTTTGGGGTCGTTGGTAAACGGCCTGTACGACGTGCAGGCTTTCAAGTTTGGGAACTTCGTGCTGAAGAGCGGGCTCTCTTCTCCCGTCTACGTAGATCTGCGGGGCATCGTGTCTCAACCACGTCTTCTGAGTCAGGTGTCCGCCCGGAACGGGGAAGAACTGGGCGGGTGGCGGAAAAGGGGCCCAGGAGAGGGAGGAGGGCGACAGGAGTTGGGGAGCCGCAGAGCTTAGCGGGAGGGGCGCCCCTGCTGTCGGCCTGGGGAGCCCGTGTGAGAAGCCCGGAGGCCAGGAACTGTCCGTTTTGGGGACCCAGAGAGCAGCCTGCTGGTTTACCCGCCGACTTGGACACGTGGTTTGCCAGAGTCGGGACTCCAGTTTGGGGCCCGGTCTCGCAGAGCTGTGGTTGAAGGGTTTCTGTGTATCTAACCTCGAGAAAGTTAGACGTGGGGGAGAGAGAAAAGGGTGGGTGTGGGGAGAAGTTAGTGGCTGTTCAAATACTTGGAAGGAGGCTCCATTTTGCACTGTGTGACCAGGAGCAGGAATTAAGGCCTGAGGGTGGACATTTCATGGAGGGTTTCTTGTTTTTGTTTTTATGGTCAGTATAAGGGGAAACTTCCTACGCATTAGAGGTTACTAGCACAGTGCTTCTCAAACTTTGAGTAGATATGACCCGCCCTGGGGATTGTGTTCAGCGGTGTGATATGGGTGAGCAGATCGGAGGCAGGGCCTGAGGTTGTGCCCGTCTCCTTAACCGCCAGCCGAAGCTGCAGACCGCGCTCTGGGCAGAAGGGGCTGAGTGTGCTGTTCGGGACAGTCGCCACTAGCCACGTGAATACCGAGCACTATGAATTTTTAAATTCGCATAGCCACATGTTGCTAGTGACTGTCATATTGGACAGTGCAGGTATAGTACATTTCCACCATCATAGAAGTTCTGTCTAGAAGACACGTATGCTTCACCTCTCACTTAAGGATGTTGACGTCATGTGTGCTTGTTCTGGGAAGGATTGGAGCACTAGTTAAAATGGGTTGGAAACTCACTACCCGGAATCTTGCTGCGGTGCGTTTCAGCAGTGCTGCGGAAAAAGTGAGTGACGAGGGGTTCTTCTAATGAAAAATTGATTTGGTTTTTTTTAACAAGTCGTCAGTTGACAGGAGACTAAAAATTATTTTTTGATACTAGATCTTGGTGTGGGTGTGATTTTTTTTGGTAGTTAATTTGGAAGGAGTTCAAAACATTGAGAGACCTCGGTATAATAGAACTTCTTTCATGTCTACTTTATATGAATAGAGTTTCTCAATATTTCTATCCAAAAAAAGGCAGTAGAATTTACACTAAACTCTAACTTTCTAGTAGTAAGTACTATTGAACTACAGCAGATACATAAACTAGTGCAAGGAGGAAAAGTACTGTACGTCTCACTAAAAAATGCATTTCTGAAATAATCAGTTTTTATGCTATCAAAACTTGAACATTATGTTTTCATTTATTTTATGCTCATAACAATTGTGATAACTCAATACAGAAGAATTTTTAACACTTAGAGACTTACAGTCACAGGAAATGTAAAGTTTTTCAGACATAAATATATATTGCATTTGAATAAAATTCTTTGGAAATAATGGAATGAAAATATGAGTTCCCCCAAAATATAGGCTTTTCCAGCTATCATGGCCTAGCATTTTTTTTTAATGGAGATGTTGAGTATCAAATCACTATAGCATTTGGATCCCATTATATTCACTTAAAAGAGTGATGTAACAGTTCTAGATAATATGTTAATGTTTTCGGTATTCTAGAAATTACATCTTTTGCAACTTAAAAATATTGATAGATTTTTTTCATCTGAGCAAAAATTTTTGAAGACTTATGATCAACTCTGAGTGCTTGTTTGCTTTTCTGTTTTTAAAATAAGGTGGTGTTCAGTAGGAGTATGCATTCTAGCATTAATATGTGATGATTTATGTGGAAAGGGTATTATAAAATACTGGATTCTGTATTATGAAACTTTTTTCATTCTTTTACATTTTTGTATATTCTTGCATTGATTCTTTTTAGGTAAAATTGACATAACATTATATTAATTTCAGGTGTACAATATAATGATTTAATAATTGTATATATTGCAAAGTGATCACTGCAATAAGACTAGTTAATATCCATCACCATACATACTTAAAGAATATTTTTTCTGGTGATAACTTTTACTATCTACCCTTACTTTCAGATATGCAGTGCAGTATTAGTAACTATAGTCAGCATATTGCACATACATCCCCATGACATTTATTTTATAACTGCACGTTTGTATCTTTTGGCCACCTTCACCCATTTCATTCCTCACACCTGCCCCCAACCCCCACCTCTGGAAACCACTAATCTCTTCTCTGTATCTATGAATTTGGCCTTTCTTTCTTTTTTTTTTTTCTTTGTTTTAGACTCCACCTATAAGTGAGATCATACAATATTTGTCTTTCTCTGTCTGACTTAATGTTTTTATCCATTTGTCTATTGATGGATGTCTAGGCTGCTTCCATATCATAGCTATAGCTGTTGTAAGTAATTCTGCAATGAACACAGAGTGCATATATCTTTTTCTTGAGATTTTTTTTTTAGAGAGGAAGGGAGAGGGATAGTTAGAAACATCAATGAGAGAGAAACATCAATCAGCTGTCTCCTGCACACCCCCTACTGGGGATATGCCTGCAACCAAGGTACATGCCCTTGACCAGAATCGAACCTGGGACCCTTCAGTCTGCAGGCCGACGCTCTATCCACTGAGCCAAACTGTTTAGGACCATATGTCTTTTTTAATTAGTGTTTTGCTTTCTTCAGATAAACACCCAGAAGTGGAATTGCTGGGTCAAATTGGAGTTCTATTTTTAATTCTTTTTGAGGAACCTCCATACTGTTTTCCATAGTGGCTGCACCAATCTACATTCCCACCAATGATGCACAAGAATTCCCTTTTCTCCACATCCTTGCCAACAGTTGTTTGTTGGATTTATTGATAGATGATAGCCATTCTGACAGGTGTGAGGTGATATCTCATTGTGGTTTTAATTTGCACTTCCCTAATGATTAGTGATGTTGCGCATCTTTTCATATGTCTATTGGCCATTTGTATGTCCTTTTTGGAGAAATGTCTATTTGGAACCTCTGTCCATATTTTAATCAGTTTGTTGTTTCAGTGTTAAGTTGTATAAGTTTCTTAAATATTTTGAATATTAACTCCTTTAGTGGTTCTCAACCTTCCTAATGCCGCGACCCTTTAATACAGTTCCTCATGTTGTGGTGACCCCCAACCATAAAATTATTTTTGTTGCTACTTCATAACTGTAATTTTGCTACTGTTATGAATCGTAATGTAAATATCTGATATGCAGGATGTATTTTCAGGGGTCGTGACCCACAGGTTGAGAACCGCTGCCGGATATATCATAGGCGAATATTTTCTCTCATTCAGTAGATTTTCTTTTCGTTTTGTTGATGGTTTCATTCACTGTGCAAAAACTTTTCAGTTTGATATAGTCCCACTCGTTTATGTATATACTAGAGGTCAGGTGACTGGGGTGCTGCTCCTGCTCATCCTGGCCCCACTGCACTTGCCACTGCCGCCTGGTAGCACTGTCGCAGCTGCGCTCACCAGCTGTGAGCCCCGAATCTTGCACCGGTTGATCAGCTGAGCAGCACTCACCACCAGGGGGCAGCTCCTGCATTGAGCATCTGTCCCCTGGTGGTCAGTGCGCATCATAGCTACTGGCTGGTCATCTGGTCAACCAGTTGCTTAGGCTTTTATATATATAGATTTTTTATTTCCCTTGTCTGTTGAGACATATCCAAAAAAATATTACTAAGAGTGATGTCAAAGAGTTTATTGCCTATTTTTCTTCTAGGAGTTTTATGGTTTCAGTTCTTACATTCAAGTATTTAATCCATTTTGAGTTTATTCTTGTAAGAGTTTATTGGTGTAAGACAGTGATCTAGTTTCATTCTTTTTGCATATATCTGTTCATTTATTGAAGAGCTATCCTTATCCCATTGTATATTCTTACCTCCTTTGTTGTAAATTATTTCTGAGTTCTCTATTCTATTACATTAATCTATTTGTTTTTGTGCCAGTACCATATCATTTTGATTACTATATCCTTGTATAATTTGATATCAGGTAGCCTGATACTTCCAACTTTGTTCTTTCTCTATATTGCTTTGGCTCTGTGAAAAATGCCATTGGTATTTTTATAGGGATTGCATCAAATATATAGATTGCTTTGGGAAATATGGACATTTTAATGGTGTTAATTTTTCCAATCCACAAACACAGTAGTATACCTTCCATTTATTTGTGTCTTCATTTTCTTCCAGCAGTGTCATACAGTTTTCAAAGTACGGATCTTTTTACCTCCATTAAATATATTCCTAGGTATTCTGTTACTTTTGTTGCCACTGTAAATAGGATTTTCTTTTTTTTTAATTAAAATTTTTTTATTGATTCCGGAGATAGGGGGAAGGGAGAGGGAGAGAGATTTTTTTATGCATTCATTGATTGCTTCTTGTATGTGCCGTGACTAGAGATTGAACCTGCAACCTTGGTGGATCTGGTCGATGCTCCAACTCAACTGAGCTACCCAGCCTGGGCAGGACTATTTTCCTAATTTCTTTTTCTGATAGTTCATTGTTAATATATAAAAATGCAAGCAATTTTTGAATATTAATTTTGTATCCTACAACTTTACTGAATTCATTTATTAGTTATAATTGTTTTTTGGTATAATCTTTATTGTTCTCACTATATAGCAGCGGTTCTCAACCTGTGGGTCGCGACCCCTAAGACCATCCTGCATGTCAGATATTTATATTACGATTCATAACAGTAGCAACATTACAGTTATGAAGTAGCAACGAACAACATTACAGTTATGAAGTAGCAACGAAAATTTTATGGTTGGGTCACATCATGAGGAACTGTATTATATAGTATGTTATCTGCAAAGTGAGTTTTATTTCTTTGTTTTCAATTTGGAAGCCTTTTATTTCTTTTTCTCTTTTAATTGCTAAGGGTAGGACTTCCATTACTATATCAAGTTAACAGTGGTAAGGAGTAGACATCTTTGTCTTGTTCCCAATCTGAGAGATAAAGCTTACAGTTTTTCACCTTTGAATATGATGTTAGCTGTGGTTTTGTCTTATATGGCCTTTATGATGTGGAGTTATGTTTCCCTATATCCACTTTGCTGAGTGTTTTTATCATAAATTAAAGATGAATTTTGTCAAATGCTTAGCTGCATTTAACAAAATCTGATATGATCATATGATTTTTTTTTGTAAATCCTAACTTGATATTTTTTCAATTGATTTTTGGAGTTGGGGGGGCAGAGAGGGAAACATCAATGTGAGAGAGAGACATCAATTGGTTCCTCCTGCATGCTCCCTGACCAGGACCAAGGATCTAACCTGCAATCCAGGCATGTGCTCCAACCATTGAACCACACTGACCAGGGCATGTTCATATGATTTTTGTTCCTCATTTTATTTATATGCTGTATCATGTTAATTGCTATGTGGATGTTGAACCAGTCTTGCAACCTGGGAATAAATCTTACTTGATCATGGTATCTGACCTTTATATTGTATTGCTGAGTGCAGTTTGCTATTATTTTGTTGAGGATTTTTTCATCTAAGTTCATCAGGGATATTGGCCAATAATTTTCTTTTTTTGTAGTGTCTTTGTCTGGTTTTGGTATGGGGTAATGCTGGTCACATAAAATGAGTTTAGGAGTCATCCCTTGTCAGGGCCAGCCTGACAGGTTGAGCCGGGCTGAGGCAGGGAGGTGGGAATTGAGAAAAGAAAGAAAGACAGGAGAGCGGGATCGGGAGGACTACAGCTCAATCGAGAAACTGCAGCAAGTTTATTAACCACACAATGTTTTTTATACACAAGATACTGAATAGGAGGTCTGTCAAGAGGAATGTATTCTTTGTTCCTCTTAATCTCTAAGGGAGAGATAGAGCGGAAGGACAAATTCTCGGTACAGCAAATCTCAGTAAATAGTTACAGACTTCTTGGTAAGCCATGAAAGGCTGTT